CCACCCCGCACCAGGTTCTTTCAGGCCCTGAAAATGTGCACTAGCAAATGCTTTCTCCTCAGATGTTCAAATGTCATGCCACAGAGAGCTGCTTTGATTGCCCCAAAGTAGCCTTCTATCCACCTATATCACCTTATAATGTGTAAATTTACTTGCTTATTCTTTGCAGTGTAAGTATTTAAGAATATAAGCTCCATGAGGGTCTGGTCCTCATTTGTCTTGTTCAATAGTACAACCCAATACCAGGAATCGCACCTGGCACATAGTGTCTCTTCTATGTTGAGTGAAAGAATGGACTAAAGAAACGTGTAGATGGAGACCATAGAGAGGAGCACCAGCCCCAACTGCTGTATCATAGCAAACTCATGAGAGATCCCAAGCGAGATCTGGAGAACTTCCCAGCTAATCCACAGATTGTGAGATATAATACAGGGCTGGGTTTTTCAGCTTTATTGAGGTATAACTGACAAACTTGTAAGATATCTAAAGTGTCCAGTGTGATGATGTGATATACATATACACTGTGAAAGGATTTCCTGCTGCCAAATTAATCCATCCATCACCTCGTGTATTTACTTTTTTTTTTTTTTGGTGAGAACATTTAAATTCTACTCTGTTAGCAAATTTCAATTATACAGTATGGTGTTATCAACTATAGTCACCATGTTATACATTAGATCCTCAGACCTTATTCACCTTATAACTGAAAGTTTTTATCCTGTACTAACCTCTCCCTATTTTCCCACCCCTGAGCCTCTGGCAACAACTTTCTACTCTGTTTCTATGAACTCAATTTTTTTTAAATAAAGGGTTACTTTAAGCTTCTAAGTTTTGGAGTGGTTTATTATATAGTAATAGATGAACAAAACAAGAACATTTTCCTTTAATTAAAATTATGCAACATTAAATCATTGTTAGGGTAATTCCAAATTAAATAATTTACCACAACCAGGTCGCTCTAACCAGCCTAGTGTTTTACTTAAGTGTCTATATGTTCTTCCAGCTGTTTTTTTCTCCATTGTTAAAATTTCCCTTTTGTCACTTTAAATGGATTCAGTAATATTCCACAAGGCTCTTCTAGTCCCTTTAAGATGGGATTTATATCTGTTTTGACACAGCAAGGTCCACACTGTCACTATGCCTACGCATTGCACAGTGCAAATAATAGCTGATCACTTAAGTGTTGATGGCATATGATGTACACCAACTAGACTGAGATTGCTTCTTCTCTCAACCCTTCCCCTTTCAGCCAGCCCCAAGAAGGGACTGGTGGAGTAAGTTATAAAGTTTGGAGGAGACAAGTCTTTGAAAGTTTATTGGTTATATATCTCAGAGATCACTGGATTCTGGGTTTAGGGAAACCTTGGATCAAAAGGTTTTCTTTCTATCTTTTTCTGGTCTCTTTTTCTTTTCTTATTTCCTTCTACTTGGAAGATGACTTTGACTCTGGAGAACTAAGAAGGGATATGGGTGGAGCAAGAGAAAAGGAAGCAAGCTTTGCTTAATATTTGTCCCAAGATTGAGAGAGGCAAAGAGACCTTTAAGTTTCCTTCTGGGTGGTCCACTCCATTGAAGGCCCCAGAAGTGGTGTGGGTTTCAGGGTAGAAGCTGTGCCTTTAAATAAAGATGCTGGCTTTGACTGCAGCACTACCAATTTTCCCTCCTTTTTATACTCCTGGTTGTAATGGGACAGAGTAGCAGTGGTGATAGCAGTGATTGGATATGGTGACTTGTTTGTTTTGCCAGCAAGGAGGGCAGAGGAGGGAGAAGAAGGGTGTGGATTAAGTGACACAGGGCCACTATGGGTTTTTGTGGGCTATCTTGAAACATCTGCCATTATTTATAACATTTTTCTACAGGGAAATTATTCTGTCTTCCTTACACCTGACCTACAAATAAATTTGGAAAGGGCACATATATAAAGGGAGTAAAGTATTTTACTTGTTAGCAAATGTAACCACCAGAGGGCAGAGTTGGATTAGGAAGATGAATAAAAGCAAAACTGTGCTCTTAACCAGGTGCATTGATTCTTAAACTTTTACAGTTCCTACGGACCTTCATTACTTTGTTGTCATAATTCTTTAATGTGTACTAACATAATTCTAATTGTAACAAAGCTCCTTATGCTATATAAAATCAACACAAATTTATAATTTAAAAGTTTATAAAATTAAGTACAAATTACTATCATTAATTTCATACATGTTGTTTTGCTAAAACTCCATCTCCTCTTGCAAAATGCGTTTGGTAAAATATACAACATATGCTCTTGAGTTCAGTATTCTGTGCTATCATATTTCACTTTTCTCTTTCAGAACTACTACATGTCTTTATTTAACAGGCCGTGCTGGTGTTTGACTTGCACTTGGCTAAACATTTCACTATGTGTGAATTCTGCTTCTGTTCCCTTTTTGGCAAGGAACAATTAAAGTTCTTCCACTCAGGGACAACAGTGGATCAGGACAAACAACGCAAACACAGGCATTTCATTGATATGAAAAAAAGTTTGAATTTTCTAAGAAAACTCAGACTTTCTAGTTGAAATCTAGACCTCAATTTGGTAGGTTCTTCTATAGGATAAGGGCCTCAAAATGTTTTAAGTATGGTGACTTAACATCATGGTTTCCCTTGGTAGTTTACGCCTTTTTTTCCCAGCACCCGGTTTCATTTTCAAAAATGTCCTCATTTGGATGATAAAAAATAAGATTCTATACCCTGGTTATAAGCCAGTACTGGCATGGAGGTTTAAGGTCAGAAAGGACCTGTGCTTTAGCAGTAGGAGTTAGGAAACAAAGAAGTTAAAGCCATTTATAAAAATTTCACAGTCTTCTCTCAGATGTTTATCTATCTAATATGAATGAAGCTTTGGGGGTTAATCCAAATTTCAGACATATTCTAATCTCCCTTTGTGACTCAGAGGCCTCAGAGGTTACCCCCAATTTCCATACTCTTCAAATACCACCTCAAAACACAGCCTATAAGAAAAGAAATAAAGTGAAAGATTTCATCACAATTAGGATCCTCTGATACCTAACAACATATAAGGTCATTTTCATGTAGGGAGGAGTCAAGAGAACTAAAATGTTAAATCAAGCTATATTCAGAAACTGCAATATGCTGATCAGCCCTATAGCCAGACCATGTGGAAACCTGCAGAACGAAGAAAGATGTCTGCTGAGATGGCTAACAAACCATTTCCCCACACCATGAAGAAAAAACAGGAAAACAGAATTCCTTAAGTGGCACCTTACGCAAAATAAAATCAATTCATTTCCTATGGCTAAAATCATTGGGAACCTATGGATCAAAGGCTGGGAATTGCCAGTAGGCCTTTTCATGCTACATGTTTTACCTTTTAACGCTACATACTCTTATCCTCTCTCACTTCCTTGTCTAATAACTTCTCATCAAAGGAAAATGGGTAAACAAAGTCTTAAAACTATAATTCACAGAAACTACGAATGATATATAAACTGGATTCCCCAAAACTATTTCTTCTTGTCTCAGCTTTTTTTTTTTCTTTGCTTCTTGTCTTTGATTTTCCTGTCTATGGAGCATTACCCCCTCTCTAAAAAACTTTCTTTTTGACTCTAACTCTGGCATGCATTTGAATTCTTTCTTGTGCTCAGCCAAGAACTTTCTCTTTTGGTGCAAGACTTGAGCTCCCCCTGACTTGGGGAGTTTGCCTTGTCCTGCAACAATTTTAGAGCAGGAGGAGTGAAACTTCTGAAAGGGTCACATTTACTCAGAAAAGCTGGAAGACAGGACAGCAGTTTTATAACTAAAACATAATTTGGCTAGCACTGTGTATTGGTTGCTACACAACAAAATGATTCCTCACTGCCAAGTCTCAAGACCATATTCAGTAGCCAACATGACTTCAGAGTTAACAGTAATGAAAAGATGCCACAAAATATTGATTTTTAAGGAGACTGAGAAATATTTCTCTAAGAAATATATATTCTCAGAGAAAGTGTGTGTGTGTGTGTGTGTGTGTGTGTGTGTGTGTATGCCCTAGACCAAATCCAAGAACAAAAATGTTCCACAAACTGAAATTTGCTGAGATTGGTCTATTGAAATGATACTAATGAGAGCATTCTGGCAACCTTGAGTCCTCATTTCTTCAGAAGATGACTATTAT